GTATGTTACCACAATGCCAAGGAGGAAAGACATCAGCAATGATCTTAGAGAAGCAATTGTTGCTGCCCATCAGTCTGAGAGGGTTATAAGGCCATTTCCGAACAATTTGAAGTCCATCATTCTTTAGTGAAAAAGATTATTCACAAGTGGAAAACATTTGAGACAGCTGCCAATCTTCCCATTAGTGGACGACTCAGCAAATTAACCCCAAGGTCATCCCTGCAATGGTCGAAGAAATTGAAAAAAAAAAAACCAAGAGCTCAGACTCTACAGGCCTCAGTTGACAGGTTAAATGTTAACTTTCATCACAATACAATTAGAAAAAAGATTGTGAGCAAGTATGGCTTGTTTGGAAGAGCTGCCAGAACAAACCACAAGATTTATGGTACAATATCCTTTGGACAGGCGAGACCAAAGTGGAGAAGTTTGGCCATAATGCACAGCACCACGTTTGATGAAAACCAAACAGCTTATCAGCAAAAACACCTCATACCAACTGTCAAGCATGGTGATGGAGGGGTGATGATTTGGGCTTGTTTTGTAGCCACAGGACCAGGATACCTTGCAGTTATTGAGTCGAACATGAATACCATGGTAAACGCCTCTGTATACCAAAGTATTGTAGGGTCATATATGAGGCCATCTGTCCGAAAGCTATAGCTGAAATTGGGTCATGCAACAGGACAATGATCCCAAGTACACCAGCAAATCTACAACAGAATGGCTAAAAAAGAAATGAATCAAGGTGTTGCAATTACCTAGTCAAAGTCCAGACCTCATCCTGATTGAAATGTTGTGGCAGGACCTTAAGAGAGCTATTGGATTGTGGGGGGTACTTATTTTTTGACACATGGCCTCTCTCCATTTTGGCTTCATCTTTGTAAAACAAGGACACAGTGAAATCTAGTAAGGACCAGATGAGTTTATATTTTAATGTCCTAATATGTAAAACCATAGAACTGAAAGAGGGTGTACTCTCTTCTACACATGTGGGTATTTATTTCACAAATATACATATATGTATGTTTTATTTATGGTGTTCTTTTATAAATCCCAAAACCTTTGTATAAATGTGAGTACTGAGATTCATATATATATATATATATATATGTGTGTGTGTGTATGTTATATATGAGACGACCTGCATTGCTTTATATTATATACATTCATTCTTTGATGCTTTTATTGCAATGGCCCGCAATAGCACCCATAACATTAGAATGATGGAAGTGTGTGATCCAGGTTTTTTAAGTACTTAAAGATGGACAGGAACAGCATGATTTTGTAATGTAGGTTGTTCAAGAGCTGAGACCAATTCATCACACAATTCCATCAGAATCACTCATTATAATCCAAGATGGCTGATAAGCCACATCATCAATGGAAAAATAATCATTGTGGTCTCTAATACCCGTTACCTTTGTGTTTGGTCGTACACAACGTCATCCAACAAAGTTAAATATGCCATGATGATGCTGCGTGTGACATACTTACACATGGGCCATGATACATATTACAGTAATTGTACGTGTGAGTACACATGTGTTGTTACCTATGACTTTTGAGTATGTACACCTCTGATTTACCATAGATTCTATGCATTAAATAGAGACCATTGTCATAAAGTCATTCATTTAAAAAATAAAACAAATGCTGAATGTTAGTTGCTTATGAGATATAGTAAAAATGTTTCAGTATTTAATGTGCATTTCCCCAAGTGCAAAGACTAACTAAATGCAACATAGATGCACATTTCTATCCGAACTCTAGATGTCACTTTTTCCTGTTTCCTCTGACACATTCGTACGGCTGCACTGCACCATTCATAGACGTGCAAACTTTTTCAGGGGGATTTATTTTTGTTGTTCCCTTATAAATCCCAAAATCTTTGTATGTGCATAACAATCTTTAGTGGCTTTTTTGTTCATATGAAGCCTTTATAAATGACCCCCCGGGTTCCTTTCAGGATAAACATCTCTTTTGAATGCCAAACCCACCTGTACTGTTTGTTGCCAAGAACTCGATTTCCATTTAATCTGATCATACAACATAGTTCCAGTCAAAATTCCAGAAGCACTTGTGCTTTTGGATAAATGACAGGAATGGCATTTTTCTGACTGCCTTCCAAATATATATTGCCATGGAGGCAACATCTGATGGTTATAGGACTGAATTAAAAATATTATTACTGGTGTACAAAGTACTAAATGGTCTCGGGCCTCAATGCACTTCTGATTTACTTGAACATTAAGAGGCATCCAGACCCGTGAGGTCTTCTGGGAAAGGTTCACTCAAGCGTTCCCAGAATCAAGACCAAGCAAGGAGAAGTAGCATTCAGTTTCTATGTTCCCCATCTGTGGAGCAAGCTTTCTGAAGAGCTGAGGTCTGCTGAAACTCTCAGCTCATCTAAATCAGGGCTTAAAACATTACAGTTTGCTACAGCTTTTCAATAAATTAAATCAGGTAAGTCATACATTATCACTTCAATATAACTACTTTTCAGTTAACTGTTTGGCTTTTAGGTAATTTATTATTATTATTATTATTATTAATAATAATAATGTGTTTTAAATGTGATTTTAATGTCTTGTCTTCTGCCTTTGTAAAGCACTTTGAATTGCCTGAATTTTGTCCGAATTGTGCTACATAAACAAACTTGCTTTGCCTTGGTTTGGGTGAATAGCTGACCCCAAAATGCTACTTTTTCCTTGTAATTCTCCAAAAGAATTCCTTTGGAATTTTTCCATCCTCTTCACTGTGCCTGGTGGCAAGATAAACCTGGATCCTCTTTCAAGTGAGTTTGCAACATTGCAGTTGATTTGAACTTAATTATGGCCATTATTGTAGAAATGGGCATTTTCGGGTGAGTAGCTATTTTAATATAACCATTCCCCGATTCACGAAGATGAAAGCACATCTCTCGCATTTGATTCCTATGTTGATGAATGACTAACGCTGAAGATGAGCCTTTGTCGGCTGCATTCCTCGCAGGTCGAACACTAAGCACTGTCAAATGGGACGGTCTGCCCACTTGACCTCTGCACCATGAATGTTGGAATATATTGGGCTGCAAAGGTTCCATCTGGTGGATCCTTTGTGACTCAGCAAAAGGACGACACATTTCTAGACCTCATTTGAAGGAGCCTTTGGGTGTTTTCACACCTTTAAAGCAAACTCAGATCAATTAGTCAGGATTTTTTGCGTATCTGTGAACACGCCAAACGAACTCAGACCCCTTTGAAACGAACTGAACTGAGACCACATCGGGAGGTAGTCTCAGTCCGGTTCGCTTTTAGTCTGCATCACGGTTCGTTTAACTTGCGCATTATGAACACAAAGCGGTCCTGGCTTGCTTCGACAATTTTTACCCTTTAGCTTTGCCATAAGCAGATCACGTGGTACAGTCCCGTGAAACAAGCAAAATAATGGCTGCAAATGTCGGACACCAAATAGTTTGGTCAGAGAAGGAGACTACAGTGCGTCTTGACATTTGGAACGAAGGAAACATAAAACATCAACTATGTACAACACACAGGAATTTGCATCCATTGTGCAGCCATCTTGTTTGAAATGAAAACTACCCAGAATCCAAAGCAGTAAAGGTCTGAGAGCTCCATAAGAACTTGAAGTATGAACAGAAAAAGGACTGAGGCCCCATCTGAGCTGAAGTAAATCAGAAAGAGAACTAAGTCCCCTTTCAAATGAACTCGCATTGTAAACAAAAAAAGAACTGAGTTCCCTTTCTGTTGGTCCACTTTTGGGACCACTTCTATAGGTCTGAGTTCAGTTCCTTTAAAGTGGACTATATGTGAAAACACCCTTTGAATAGGTCAGCCTTGTCACTCTGCTAATATGCATTAGCCTTAGAAGGATGCAGCCCCTGATTTCAAACACAGCCTAATGGAATTTGGCCTCTGTGTCACCTAATATTTATACCCCAGTGAAACAGGAAGTCATGGATTACTGCTTGAAAGTTCCTTCACACTCTGATCAACTTCCATCCATCCACCCATCTTCTGAAACCGCTTGCCCTATTCAGGGTCGTGGGGGGGTCCTGATTTGATTTGATTTGATTTGACAATGCTATACAGTTTGGGCATCCTGAACATTTTACTAAACGGCCACTGCAGCCATATTCTTTTCTGTGTTTATGTTGCACCATAACCTTTTTTTTAGGCCTTTGTTGTTTTGACTGTTGTAACTCTTGTATCTGGGTGTTAAATTACTGCAGTTGTCTGCACCTGGCATAAAGTGCTGATTAAAAAAAAAAACAACTACAGTTTTGTGTTGCATCAGTTTCCCTTGATTCAGAGCTAAATGTGAAACAGTTCGTCCCTTTAAAACCCTAAGCACATGAGCACTCTGTTCACCAGATGCGGGCTCTTTGTATTATGTGTCCACGATGTAGAAATATATATTAGCTTCTCTCTATGATTCTTATTCACTTTTTAATCACTTTACATATTATATCTTACCTTCACATAATTTCCCACTTTTTGTAAATGATAATCTTTTTCTCTCCTCTCTGTAATCATACATGGTCACAAGTTCATACACCATTAATACTAATCAAGGCACAGCATCCAGAGAATTCTGTCAGTGCCTTTCCCATAGAACATGATCACAAATTTTCTATCATATTCTAGAAGCTGACAAGATTGCTTGTCTGCTTACCAAGTATGTACATTTTCCAGTTTTCTCTTCTGATTATCTTGCTTGATGTGGTCAGTGTAGAGGAAACACACTATAGATGATGACTGGGTGTGACATTGGTGACATTGTGATGCAATTTGTCCACTGCTCCACAATTCATATTAATACTTGTTATTATAGAAGATGGTGTAAGTTCGATTCATTTGATAAACACTTCAGTTAGATGTCTCTTTCCCCTGTTACTGCATTCATCAATATCTGTAGGATTTATTTGAACTGAAACAAAGATGGATATTTATAATTCTGTAAATTTGTATCTGTTGTAATGATGCCAGGACATTCAGAAATGATAGCATGTTCATATCATTCAGTTGCTTTATTTTTGGAGCAAGATATTCTGGTCTGCAGATAGACATACATGAATATTATTTAAATGAAAAGTATAGAAAAAAGACTTACATCATATAGATACAAGATAATTCAAACATACCAGACACTTTACAAAAAAACAAGAAACGATTAGTTGAAGTAAACAAGGATGATATAGGAGACAAGGATTACATTTAAGGCTACTTGAAATGTTTAAATCATAAATGAGACATGGACTGTAATATCTGTGCGTGTATATACATTTGCATAAGATTCTCTGTAACACCCCAGCAAATATAGAGATATTGTAGTTTGTAATTAAATATCAGTCATCATACAATTATGATTAAAATCATTTTTATTTATGCATTATCCAAACATAATATCAATTTTGAGATAAATCATTTCTTACGAGATCTTAGGATGTCATATTGGATTTTTCCACCCTTAAGTGTAAATTTCATGACACTAAACTAAACACATGTTCTAAATGTTGTTACGAGTTTATCTTGTGGGATATGTTGTTTACATTAAAATGGGGTTATAGCTTAAGTCAAGTCAAGTCATTTTATTTATATAAACAACCAGTGGCTGACCAAAGTGCTTTACATCAATAAATAAATATCTCAAAGCATGTTGACCAAAGTCAAACCTTCGGGAGGTTCCAGGATAAAGGTTAGAAGCAGGATGAAACATAAATTTTAAAGTCACATTCACTGTTTTCATTGCCTTTACTAATGAAATGGAAATAATTTTATTGTCGCGTACAAAGAAGGTTCAGTATTTCTGACTGAGGTTCAGCAAGCAGTTAACCAACTGCTGTGCATACCGTTTTTAATTCAACAAAGTATTGCATGACTCATACAAACACATAGAGGTTAATTAAAAGATTAAAGAGCAGTTTATACATCTATTGCAATCAAAATCTTCACAATGTTCACTATGGTGAAGATGGAAAATGTGCAGATGTATCCATTAATAAAGTAGTGAGATTAAGTTTAGTTTAAGTCATGAGTGTAAGATTTCAAAAGTAATGTCATGTAGGACCATTATCTTCTTGATTCTTTGTAAATTGTCCCTTTTTATAAATAACATGAGGCCCTTAAGAAATTGAGATCTGAGATATTTCATCTGTTCATCATTTTGTCTAATTAAAACACAATTCCAGCATGTTTTTTTAAACGCTATGTTATGTTTGTCAGTCAATAAAAATATGATGGAATCCCATTTCAATATTCAGCTATCAGGTCTGGATCTTTCATACTGCCAAAAGCCTTCCTCTCAACTGCATTACAAGAACTCAGTCCACTATGATTTACTTTGCAGTTTATTTCATGAGTAATTTATTCATAAATTTCCTTTTAACCTGGGTTAAATTGCAAGTAGCTTATACTACAGTGTCAGCTAAAATGATTGGTTTTTGAATTTTAATGTGTCTTGAGATCGAAATAAATTTGCATATTTTGAAATAAGATTTAGAAGATATATAATAAATATAAAACCATGCTTTTCGATCTCGTGCATAGAGCAATTTTAAGTAAAATTTGTAAAGGCATGCAAGGTCTCTTCCAGTTTTATAACAATTAGAATTGAAATAATTAGTTCCATTCATTGTCAGTAAAAAACAAAAAAAAATCATGCTGTTTGGTTGGACCTAATTAACATGACCACATTATTTCATTAATCTAAAGTCATCTTTTTCATTAAATGTAAAAAGTGACATATATGTCTAGGCAACACACTCTGAATTAGCAAGTGGTCATTTGATTCTCCCCTTTTCAGTTAAAGTGAGTACAGGTATCCTCTTGTGAGCCTAATGCTGGAAATTGTAAGGTGAAATCTTGCTGGGGACCTAATTTCCAATAATTACCGTGAGTAAAAATGGAATTGATAAATTGAGTTGAGGTGACACAAAAACACTGAAAAAGTTGAGTGCAAAGATAGTAACTGTGGACAAGATTGCTAGTGAGCTAAGCGTGGCTAATGGTGCAAACGTTCAGTCGTACGCATAAAAAATTGGAAGTCAGTGACTCGTAAGGGATACCTGTCCATCATGTAATAAGCTAATTTAATTAAATGATTCATAATGATCAGAGACGAGTGCCTTCTCAGTTCCCAAATCTCATGCATCATAAATATCCCACCTTGAAACATTCAATCCTAGAATAACAGTATCAATGAAACCCCAGAGTAACTTAAAACTTAACCCCACCCATCTTTATACTTTGCAGGAAGCCAACTACAGACTCCCTTATTATTGACAATAAGTGTGAATCAAATATATATACTTAAAAATTCTACCTCAAAGAACCAGTTTCTAAAATTCATTCTTATTTATCACTCTCAGTCTTGGTTGGGGGATATTTCCTCTGTTCTTTACTGGTGCAGCATGGTAAGATACCCTGGAGATTGAAAAGTTATTTAACTACCTGTGAAATCTACCCCCTTATCATTAGACTACCCAGTCAGACTTCATTCATTGAAGTTATCAATTCAGGTGGAAAATGTGTGCAAAATACATTAATACAGACATCATGTAAATAAAGAGTATTTCTATAATATATATTTTTTTCTGCTGTCTTAGTAAACAGGTAAAATGTTTACATTTTATTGAGTCAAGTCGCTCCGTCATATTGCAGAGTGACATTTACGTATAGCAGAAGTATCAAAGATTTTAATAATTGTTTAGTAATCTTCATAAATATTATTGCTGAAGCTACAGAGTTTCTCAGCATTGCTGCATGTAAAGGTGCAGGATAACTTGTGTATTACTTTCTATCCCTCATGCATGCATGCAAATGAGACAGGAAAAGGATGCAAATCTGTTAAACAAATCTTTTAGGTTACATGTCATTATAGTTCTTCTATTCCGTTATTGTTCTGTAAGCATGCTTAATTTTTGTTTTTTGGAATATGAATGTATTGTCATGAGTACATGAGACAATTCAGAGGCATATACACCATCTACATAACCTCTGTACCGTCCAAACCCCAACAAAAATACTATTGCCCTGATCCCAACAAAATATATATTCTTAGTTCATTATCACTCATATATTAATTGACAATTCATTATATCGCTTTTAATTATTGCACTAGTTGGCACAAAGCAGAACGATCTTTATGCTAGTTGTTTAAAAATAAGGAAAATGTAAATACGTTATTTTTCCTGCTTTGAGTGGGCTTCATTTTCAAGAAGCTCAAAAACAAATAAATAGATACATACATAAATACACAAAATAAATAAATAAACAGAATTTATAAAATAAGTACGTATGTACAGTATAGAGGAGACCTAGACTGCAGCCCGCAGTAAAAATAAAAAATGAAGCCCATGTTAAGATAATTCTTTCATTTTGGCAATTCTGGCTTATTTTTATATAGTTTTAACACTAGAAACCTGAGTGTTTTCAGAGGAATTCTCCTAATGAAAATCAGTGACACTTAAAATTTGTGAAAGAAGGGGTTGCTTGTATTTTCTGGGTAACTATAAGGAAACTTGTCCACAATGACACTGATGCACGTCGGTTTGATACATTCTTCATGCCGATGTTACTTCATCTCCTTGGAGTCTAAACATTTTCTTTCTCAACTGTCTTCCCATTCATAGCTTTCATTCACATTTTTTCTTTGATAAGGAAGGAAGAGGAAGATGTTCTATTTAAAACTTAAAAAAAAGATCTGATACATTTCCAGTTCTGGAGATACGTGTGTCACACATAAGCAGACTCGCTGGACTGGGTCCTTCCAAGGTTGGGTGCCTGTGACAGATGTGAGACATCTTTCTTGCGCACTTCACAAATGGACTTGCGTCGAGCCTGTACCCCTCGAATCGCTGTCTTAATCTTTCGCCAGCCAAGGTGGTTGAGTTCAGCTAAGTTGAGCAGCACACAAATACCACTGACTGCAAACATGAAGACCAGGAAGACTGTTTTCTCAGTAGGTCGGGAAACATAACATTCCACCTCCTTCACACAAGGATAGCGGTCACACTCGAACATGCCTGGAACATTGAACCCATACAGGAAGTACTGGCCAGCCAAGAAGCCTATCTCTAGGGCATTACGGAAGACTACCTGAATGACATAGAATCGAGAAATACCCTCTTGCCGGCGTACCTTTGCACTCTTTGTGTGTGTGAGCCCGCGTGGGGCATTGGGAATCTCCTTCATACCCAAACACTCATGGTCATCCTTTCCCATAGTCTCTGGGTTCTGTACGAGAATTCCATTGATGTTGCGCAGCTTGCGAGCATGATCACCACGTCCATGATCTCTCTCCATGTATGGGTGTAAGAAAGAGTAGCTACGATCACGTTGCTTGGCAGATTGGTGAACCGAGTAGGTGATGAAGCAAAGACTTGGGGTACAGACCAGGATGATCTGAAAGACCCAGTAGCGGATGTGGGAGATGGGAAAGGCCTTATCATAGCAGGCTTGGTTACAGCCAGGTTGCATGGTGTTGCAGATGAACATGATTTGCTCGTCTTCATACACCTTTTCACCCACTATCCCCACAATCAGGATGCGGAAGATCACCACCACAGTCAGGAGAATCCTTTGGGAAAGGAATTAACAGGCTTCAATTAGGGAATGTTTACCAGTGAGAAAATAGCAGATAAGGACACTGAGATATATGTAAACAACATGAGAACCTGATCAAACATAGTATAAAGTACAAACAATTGTAGTTTACTGTCAAATGGATTTAAAAATCTTTGTATGGTGTATTATGCAAAGCCAGATGATTGTTTAGTATAGTTTTCCTTTTTACTCTGTATGTTTGAAGATACACACTGAAAGTAGATTGTACTTGAATATAAGACAGTTTCAAGAACTTCTGCTCTGCTAGAACTTCTTCTGAGATGATAATTGTAATGATAATGAACTGTGATCGTTTTCTCCCTGAATGAATATTTTTAAAGCTAGTAAACAACCAGGAAGAAGTTATGATTCCATTCTAAGAAAGTATAGTTTCATTTTTTAATCAATGTCTGAAACTTATATGTTATGTAGCCATTTTAATGTTGAACAAATGATATTTAACTGAATCTGGAGTTCATGTACATAATAGATCATTTTTTTTGTAATTATGAAGCATTTTTAATCAGATACTAAAAGCTAACACAGTTACAAATAGACTTTCATTTATTATTCTGCACATATGAATTTTGCATATATAATTATTGGTGAGCTAAAACATTATGGCATGAATCACAGATAATGTTAATGACGGTCACATGGATTGAACTTGCTGTTCCAACACATCCCACAACTGCCCAACATGTACCAGGCCACGAATGTGATGCAACAGAAAACAGGACTCATCAGACCAGGCAACCTTCGTCCATTGATTCAAGGACCAGTACTGAAGTTCCCATTGTGAACACTTTCGAAGGTAGACAGGGATTAGCATGGGCACTCTGACAGGGATTAGCATGGACACTTGGCTACACAGCCCCATACACAGCAGGGCTCGATGCCTTGTGTGTCATGACACATTACTCCTGTGACATCATTAAATTATCTACGTTATATGCCACAGTGACCCTTCTCTTGGTTCATACCAAACAGAAAAGAACTCGTTTACATCTCACATGTGGCTTAGCCACCCTGTAAGTGGATCGTGGTTTTTCCCTCCTCGACAAATCGACCATAAGCACCGAATGTTGGCTTAATGTCTAATATATCCCAGACCTTGGCGTGTGCCATTTTTATGAGACAATCAATGTTTTTTGCTTCACATGAGGGTGAATGTTGTAGCTCGTCGTGTGTGTGTGATCTGTGAATGCAATCAAAAAACTAAAAATGCCAAAAGTCTCTCATTTTGTTTGGTTACTTATGGTTAAGGTAAGGGCTGGCTAAAGGTTAAGGTCATCATGTTGGAATTAGAGTTTTCCCCATAGAAATGAATGGCGAGTCCCCACAAAGATATAATTACAAACCTGTGTGTGTGTGACACACACAAACACACACAGACATACATACCTGAGAAGGTGCTTCTGTGCAAGTCCAACTCAAAGAAAGCAATATATCACGTAAACATAAAAACAATACCTAGGGCCCTTGTGCTAACTCAATTTTATATGAAATCGTATGATTTTAGTATTTCAACTGGGAAACTGCTTAGCAAAGTGCTATTACTATCCCAGCCCAAAATGCCATTAACTTATGCTGGTGACTTTGAATTACCCTGTGTGACAGCATATCTAATTATACATGTGTGTGAATGACCTACAATGCAGAGGCGCTGCATAAAAGGTATAAATGGATGCTTTTGTTGTGCCCTATGCCTCCAGCAAAAGGTTAGAGACACTCAGGAACCTATTTGGATAAGTGGTTATTGGAAAAGGATAATAGCTATAAATATTCTTAACTGTTATCAAGTTTACATAATGTTGCATTCAGCTAAGAAGATGGATTTATTTTGCTACTTAGTATCTTTATATCTATAACGAATTCATTCACATCTCACATGATATGATATCTCTACTTAAGGGTTCAACTTTTAAAATGTTCAAATTTGGTAAATATCACAATGCCTGTATTTCCTGTATTTAGAGGTCCCTATTGGCATTCAGAAAAACAGTGTTAAGCAAATTGAGAGTATAAAACACTAGGACCTCCTCCTTCTGCTGCCCAAAAAAACAACCAAAGCACGGGCCTAATAAGGTATTAAAAGGGATCCGCAAGGACGCTGGCCCACACAGACGCCATCGGCTCCTGCAGGTACGGCTGGCTGTTAGTAGTTCTGTACAGAGGTGGATACTTCAGGTCCAGAAAGTAAAAATCTAGACCAACTGAGTATTCTGTGACTCTTGGTTGAAACAAAATCCTGGTCTGGATTTTCCCTTTTTGAACCTGAACTATCCACCTCTGCTTCTGTACTCCAAAAAGCTCATTCTACCTCATCCCACTAATATTAATTGGGATTGAGATCTTGTGACTGGGCAAGCCAATGCATTAAGCTGAATTCATTATCATGTTCATGGAACCATTCCAGGACAAATTTAGCCTTGTGGCCTAGGGCATTATCCTGCTGAATAATAAAAAAAAACAAGAAAAGCAGAAATGGATAAACTGTTGGATAACACCTGATTAGCAATGATGTTCAGGTATCCTGTGGTACTCCACACTGCACCACTTCTTCTTAAAGGGATCAGTGGGCGCCATGGAAACAGCCCCTTCACATCATCATGCCACCAGCCCACATTGTTAAATGACATGCACAGTTCTTATGGTTTTCTCCGTATCCTTGTCCCACCATCAGCAAAACAAGGCAATGTTTTTCCATTCCTCAATGTTTTACTTCCTTACCCCGCTGCTGAAAGAAGCAGAATGCTGAATGGAATGAAATGGTAAGTCAATGGCTGCTTCATCCTCTTGCGCTATTATTTTTTGATGTGTTATGCATTATTTTATGGGTCCTTCAGCACCAGCGTTGTATCGGACCGTCAGTTGACTAACTGCAAGCCTTCGGCTGATCTGCACATTTTAACTCTTTCATCAATGAGTAATTTTTGACCTCTGGTCTGTTGTCTGGGTGGGTTTTGGATACATATGCAGCAGTAATGCACAGTTACACTCAAAGGCAAATCTTTTTTTCTTGTCCACTCATGCCCATTCACAATCTATGTCCCAGTTATCTCAAGCCTTAAAAATTATTTTAATCTATCCTCTCATCTTAATCTACTATGACTAATGTAGATTCAACAGTTGAAAATCAAAGACCTGCATTCCTCTTACGAGTTTATTTTAAAGAGGGACTATACATCCCTAATCGTTTGCACACTCGGTATACATAAACAATGCCTGTGGCATAGCAAAGAGGACCGCAGACCGTTTGAGTCTGTACATTATTAATGAATAGATTGTATTTACAGTGTGCCAGATTCCTCTGCGTAGGGCATGCAGGATGTGCCACACATAATCTTTCTGCTGATAACTTCACACTCTTACTGTGACAAAAGAATTAGATTTGAGAAGATAGATGTGGCAAAGGGTAATTTCAAAGCTTTATCGTGTGTAAATGATGTAATGAAATTATTATATGTGCACATCCTTCAGATCTAGTGCCAATAAATACTGGAGAATAAGTACAGCAGCAGACGCAATGTGCAAATCGGCACGGCATTGAAATTATATATTGTGTTGAACCATGAGACCATGGTTATCATCAGGATATCAGATATAAGATATAAGTGCAATGTGTAAACCTTGGAAAAGCTAAACCACCTTTGAAATTAATGATATCTCTACATAAACATTGATATATAAGACTATACCTGTATCTGCATACTATTTTATGCACAAAGAGGACACATTGTGCTGCACGGAAAAGTAATTTTGTAGGTTACATTCCCTGTATAATGAAGACCATCCCATCCAGGGCGTCTCCTTGCCTTCTGCCCTCGGCTGCCTGAGATGCTCTCTGTGACCCATACTGGGTGAGCGGTTGCATGGTGAATGGGTGGATGGAAGTGTTTTAATTTCCACAATATATTTATAAATGTTAATTACATTGTGTTTTCATCATTTGATGTCTGTGTCAGTGTTAACCTTCATAGCAGCTCTTATGACAGTGGTTGATCTTTTATTTTTGGTTGTGTGTGTTTATTATATGTATGTGTGTGTGTGTGTGGTCCAGTTATACCAAATGTCCCCACAACGTGAAGAATACCTGTCTTTTTACCTTATGGGAACCAGTTTTCTGGTCCCCATATGGGAAAACTCTATTTTATAAAAATCTGTGACTGCAATGAAAAAAGCTAGAAATTCAAAACCTCTTGTATTTTGTTTGGTTACTTATGGTTATGGTTTGGGCTTGGTATGGGTTAAGGTTGTCATAGTTAGCATTAGCATTTTTCCCATAGCGGTCCCCAAAAAGAAATGATTACACTGTGTGCATGTATGTGTGTATGATAAAAACCTGTTCATCTGACGTTGTGGACACCATTTTTTGGTCCCCACAAGTGGAAGTTAAATTTTATACAAATCTATGACACTGCAATCAATTAACTAAAAATACCAAAAGTCTTGGTTAAGGTTAGGTTTGGGTAGAGGTTAAGGTTGTCATTATTAGGATTAGGGTCACGCCCATAGAAATTAGTTGAAGGTCCCCACAAAGATATGAATACAGGTCTGTGTGTGTGTGTGTGTGATGAAAATTCCAATTCTATCATTATTGAACTGTTTAAGGAAATTATATGAAAGAATACATAAAGTCATCATTTATAAAATAGCTTTTAACATATATCGGTCTTTAACATAACTATATGATAAATATCAATAACATTATATTGTAACATTTTTGCAGCGTCAATGGCTACATAATGGGAGGAAAGTCGCACAATGAGTATCTTACATAAATAAACCTTTTTTACAGTTTTAGTTTCAGACACTTTATTTCTAAATTACCGACTAGCCAAGAACATGAATAAACTGTTAGAATATTGACCTGGATAAGCACATAATGAAGAGACACAAATTTCCTTAATCTAAATTAAAATATATGAATGTATGAAGTCCCGTAACATTTATCATGGGGTTCATTCTTATTTCTAGGAAAACTGATGACAAGAGCTTAAGCGCTTCTTGATGCCATGCAAACCAGCAAATACTGTGTCTGTATATTTCAGGTGCGAAAGCTGAAATTTTCTTACCTCCCAATCATGGTTGAATGCTGCTGGACAGCTGCTTCCAGCAGTCGCTCCAGTATGGTCCATTCTCCCATGGCGACAGCTTTTATTGGGAAATACCCTTATCTTTTAATCGTTCTTCTCTGTGGCTTTTTGGAGAACTCCACTAATGACAGTCAAACTAACACCTGCACTACCGCTTCACTTTGACCGTTGTTAATTCTGTGATCAGTATCCATGTGTCTTTGTCTATTGTACCAGAATGCTCTGCTCTGCTGAGAATATATTCTTTTCTAAGAATTCCCTACCAGTACTGTATGCCAGAGCAGGAATGTTCAGCATGCAGCCTGTCTATGTCCCAGCAAACTGCTGTAGAGCGTATCCTGTCCTTCTTTCCCCATTAATGTGATCATTGTGTGTGATCACCACGCTTTCCTCCCCCCCCCCTCTGCTCTCGCCCCTCTGCCCCTCCCCCCACCCACTGACCTCAGTGATATTCCGTATTTCACAAAAGCACCAGCTCCTATGCATGTACAGTCATGTCCTTGTGCATGGTCATGCATGGACCTTCATATATTCAGCTTCTCCTACATTTAGCACCGTGCACTGAGCAAAGCTGTGCTGTCTTTTACATACAAACACACCATCACATATATTGAAAGCATAGTGATGATTCTTGCTCGCCATAAAAGCTTACAAACACTATAAACCACCACAGCCAATGGCAAAAATAAGTCCCTTCACTCACACCAACAATCATCCTAAAAATCTTCATATTAACAAATACACAGATTTACAGATATAAATAATTTTACTTCCACTATGAATTAGCAGTGCTTCTTCCTAATTATATACATGCAATCATTCACTGCCACACTGCATGGACACTGCAATTATATCCTTGCTGTGATTCAATTTACTGCTGCATCCCTGCCAGAGAATAAAACACACCCAGAATTTTAGATCAGTATCTACCTTTTGAAAACGCCGTATGTCCATTTTCTTTCCTTTCTGATCCCATATTTGTCTGCTACTCCAGTCTCTCTAACCTCTCTGCCTATTTTCACCTATTCCTTTCCCCTGTCTGCCACGTTTTCTGTTACATTGCTCTTGCTCTGCCCTTCTATTCGGATTCTGACCAGCCTCTCTATCCTAATCTTGCTTGCATCATTTCTCTTTCACGATGGATTTTTTCATCTATTTTTGTTATTTATTTTTTTAATGCTGGCATTGCTTATCGGGTGCTTCGTTCCTATGTTAAAATACGCTCTCCGCCGCTATCGCCGCTCCCTCTATCTGAGCGTAATGTCTGGATAAAAGGATACTGCACCACCCACTTTCTGCAGTTCCTTCTCTCCAGACGCAGGGAACTGGTTTCTCTCGCTCTCTCTCTCTCTCTCTCGCCCCCCCCCCCTTCCAACTAGCTTACATGCACCTTTTGCATGTGCAAGCAGATTAACAAAATGAATCGCTGATTTGCCCGTACCTCCTCTTACCCTTTGTTTCCCTCCTCCGCGCGCTATATAGCAAATATCCCAATTTTTTACTTTATAATCTGTACTACCAATTTTTACCCTCTTTTTCTTCCCTCTTCTTCTCATTAATTTATCCATCTCTATCTTAACTCCTTCTGCTTTTATAGGTAATGCAGTTCGATATATTTCCAATGTAACCTGATTCTATGTTTGATGAGATTCAAAGCTATTCATTTTGTTTATTCTTCTGGGACTGTCTGATTCAAGCACCAAACTACACTAAGTCACATTTCGGTAACTAATCACTCTCAACACACAAATGCATGAACAGCCCCTTTGCTTACACCGGGAAAAACACATTCTGTTTTGGATAAGGTTATAAACCTATTGAGAGACTCGGAGGATGAAGGTAAAAGATTATTTACATAAAAATTGTTATATTTATCGTTTATACTTCATATACAACATACCTCATATAGGTTTCTTCTATTAATCTTTTCATAGGGAGTGTGCATAAAGACTCATTATGTCAGATAGGTTTAAATATTTTATGTTGTGATGCAGAATTCACGCCATTAAGTGGTGACTATAAAACATTTTAAAGCACGGGATGGTGTTATATATTGCCTTGGCAAGTTGACAGAATTGATGTTACTTACTAGAGGAATTTCACAGTCAACATAATACTGCACTGGGGAGTAATGCAGATGTGCTGTCAATGACCCAGAATAATCTGGCATTGTTCTCTCACATAGAAAAACACCAATGCAAAGCCAATGTAAAAATAGTGGAACGTGTGTTTCCACTTGCCTTAATTTTTCTGTTAAGATCTCACTGGAAGCTAACAGCTCTGTATGGATATAAATTAAGCAAATATTTTGTTTTTAAAATGTGATATTTACAGTGAAAATGACAGAAGAGTAAATACTAAAAAAAATAATATATAAAAGAGTTCTTGATTTGTCCTGCCATCCATCTTCCAGCTGCTTATCCTGGTTGAAGTGAAAAAGCAGCACAGGGCACAAGGCTGGGGTACACGCTGGACAGGATACCGCTCCATCACAGGGCACAAGGCTGGGGTACACGCTGGACAGGATACCGCTCCATCACAGGGC